CAGTTTTGGAAGTGTCTAAAATGATTGTACACATATGTACAAGTCATTGGTGTTTGGTGATGAGTTTTTTGGGGTTTTCCCAATACTTTGGGCAATATAGTGTATGTTTGGTGCGGTAGGGTGCCCAACCTCATATTCTTTCATAGGGCCCAAAATTGCAAGTGGCGCCGCTGCTTAGCAGTGCCCTGGCAACTACAAAGCATTATGGTGCTGAGGTTTGCATGGGCAAAAGTTCTGCAAACTCTTTAATGTGGGGATTCATCTCTAGTCAAATCTTACCAACATAAATAGAGTCAAATATAATATTAGGTTAGGTATTTCTGTTATAGTGTCCATTCCTTGTGTTTATCCACTTTTATGATATATACTATATTCTCTACCCAAAAGATGAAATTGACTCCGATAATGGCTTAATACAACAATATGTTAGGAAAGCACGCATGCATTAACCATGCATGTATTAATGGCACCAGACTCATAATTTCTCATAAAGATTCTCATAAATCTGAAATGGCTAATACCAAAATAATAAGGTTTGGTCAAATTAGCAACATTGGGAACTTTTTTGCTCTCAAACTCTCAGTCACACAGATTCCTATTTAAACTATTGTATATCAACCACAACATTTTTCCAAACAACAAAAGCGTGTCCTCATCTATAGACCAGTGGTAGTTTTTCCTTTACAATTCAAATTGACTATATTAGGTGGGGATTTGCAGTCTGTGTTTTGGGGACCCTGAGTTTTCCAGTGCTTGTCTGTTTACGCAAGAAACAGAAGTGATTGACAGTTGAAAGTACATTCTCAGCGAGCAGAGGTTAAAAAGCCAACGGGCCCAACAGCGACACAAGGGGTGCTTTTGTGAGCCTGAAACATGAGCCTGTTAACATGTCCTCTGTTAGTCTGAGGAAGTGAGAAAAGACTGAATGGAACTACAGTGTGGATTTCTCTCATTATTACAAATCCTCAAAGAATTCATATTTACACCTGTACTCATTCGTTTGGCCTCATTTTTCATCCAGCAAATTGATCAAAATTACAGGTTGACCCCATAGGACCTTCTGGCGAATCTAGAGATAAGAAGTTTTTAGTTCATGCAAAAATAAAAATTATTTTTTAACTCTCCCTCTTGTTGTTCAAAACATGTACTTTCTTTTTTTTGTACTGAAGCAAAACAATACATATATTTTAAAGAAATTTTACTCTGGTCTTGTCGATATAATGACAGTTCAGAGTGAACACACCTCCTAAAATGGAAAAGGAAAAAAGGGGGGGGGGGGAAAACCAAAAAAAAATCATAAAAGG